CTTGCCCACTGCTCGTATAAGTGCAGATGTACATGAACATGCATGCGCTTGCCCACCGTTTCCACAGCCTGGTTGCAAACAGCTCATGATCCACTAATGGGCTACAGCCCAGAAGTTGGAAACATTAGGAGAAATCCAGATTATTGAAAAACATGATGAATGCATGACAATGGAACATCTGCGTGTACTAATTTTGCAAATTGGTTAAAAAAATGTAAAATAATCATGAAAATTCTGTTTACAGTATTTGTTTGTTTGTTTATCAAATCCATTTCACTGTCAAAGTGATTCTGGGTAGTTTGCAAATGAGAAAACAATAAACCATATAAAAGAAACACAGTTTAAAAACAAGAGTTAGATACAAAGTTAAAGTAGTAGAAGTAGAAAGATGAGTTTTAAATGGCGGAGGCAGCAAACTCAAGTCACCAACAACTCTTTGAATGCACACCACTCTTTGAACCAGAGGTGGATTCTGTTATAACCCAGCAACAACCTGTGTTGCGTTCTAATTGGTTGGTCAAGGCACAGCATCTGATTGGCTGGCCTCGTGACAGTTGGGCTTGACAGTTGCTTCTGGCTAGTATAAATACCCTGACAGTTGCAGGGAGAATCTTTGAATCGCTTGTCATCTGGTACTAATAAAGATCTGTCTTGCATACATGGCTCCTGCGTGTCAATCCCAACTACAACAACAACCCACACTCACACACGAGTTTACAATAGTAGAGGACCCAAGATTGAGAAAAAAACATACTGCTCATAGGGATGAGAAGATAATTTTTTTTTTGTTCTTTTCAAGTCCCAGCTGAAGGAACTGAAGCACATTAGGTATGGAGGAGGCCTGCAAAGGTGAAATGCTTTGTAGCTGACACCAGGAAGAGAACTGAGTCCAAGTGGCATCGTAAATGTGATTAATGGATGCATGCCTGGCAGCCTGGATCATTTGTATTACCTCATGTAAGAGTTAGCTGCTGTCAAGGCCTCTCGCTCAATCTCCAAGCGGTGAGACGAAGCCAGGCTAGATCAGGGTGTCGGAGGGAGCTTTATAGAAGCAAAGAGTCAAATTGAGGAAGCTGCCACTGAGGGCCCACCGACAGATTGATCAAGTCCGTGAACCAAGGCCTGCGGGGCCAGTGGTGCAATATAAGAATCAGTTCTGCTTCCTTGATCAGCATCTTTCAAATTACGCGCTGAATCAGTGGAATTGGAGGGAACACATACAGAAGACCCCGAGGGCAGCTGCACCTGAGAGCGTCGGTTCCCTCTGCCCCCATAGTCGCGTAACGCATGAAGTTCCTGGGGAATTGATGGTTGTTTTGCATCCCAAACAGATCCAGAATTGGGGGATCGTACCTCTCTGTGATTTGGCGGAAGATCCTGTGATGAAGGCTCC